CGTTTTCGGCGTTTAAAAACAAGTACTCTGAATGCATTTTATTTTTCAGTAGCCCATTTGAATATTGCCTAGGTCTATGCCAGTTTTTCCAGAGGGTGAAACTTTATAGAATGTTGGAAAAAGAAACCCACCCACCCCCATCTTCGCTAGCCAAGGGTTTTCGGTCCACTCCGTTCCCCATAAACGGAGTGGACCGAAAACCCTTGGCTAGCGAAGATGACCCACCCCTTTCTGACGTCATTACATCCCCATAATTGTTTGGACATTTCATATAAAATTTACGATAAAATTTCATAGAACTTACAGAATGGGGTAAAAATTGCAAATTTTACGGTACAATTGTGTCATACCGAAAGAGTGAATTAACGAGATTTTTGAATGACAAATGCTCATATCAAAAAGAGAGAGAGAGTTTTTTCTCAGTTACACTAAGGTAGAAAAAAACGTACTCTTCGAGGTTGTGCCACCTGAACATACCATTGCTTTCGAAAACATCAACAATTTATTAAAAAATAAAACTAATCATGTATAGTTTATTATATAAATAAAAAAGATGATGCTAAATAAACATTAAAAAAGTCATTGATGTATCTTAAGCGGTTTTAATTTTATGGCGTTAGTCCACGAACTTTCCGAACAACCCTCGTAGTATCTCGTTTTTATTATTTCTAAAATGGTTTTTAATCGATAGGATGAGATAGGCAAAGACCACTGTTTCGCACCAGCGCAACAAACACATCGTCCGTGTAAACTATATACTTTATTTTATTTGAATGGAAATCAAATCAATAATTTTTTCAACTCACATTAAAATTCATTATATTTTAAGAGCAAATTATTTTAGTATTAATAATTTATCTAATAGTTCGGCTGCTTAACACTTAGTGACGACTCATATTTGGTTAATGTGCTTGTGAAAATTCTTAAGTCATTCAAGATCAAAGGTCATAATAATTTCACCCAGCCGTCATCTAGTTGGCTCTATTAATTTATATCAGTAAAACTGAGACGATATCAATATCAGTAAAATGTAGACGAACATGAAGTAGCAAGAACACAATTAAGCAGATAAATATATTTGATTGTACAATAACGGATGCCTTCCGTTAAAATTATGTCACGGGCTTTCGTGTTTTGACCTTGATGACATCTTCCAATAATAAATTATTATAAAACCAAGTCTCACATTTTATGCAGACTCCAAATTCTAAGTGATTGGCAACTACAAATTCAACTTTGCATCATTTTTAAACTCGTTTTAGGATATTATTTTAAAATGGATAATTTGTATGAAAGAACCTTATGGACAAACTATCATTTTCATGAAAAAATAAGTAAAATGAAAAATCTGAAGAAAAACAAAATTGATCAAATAATCCATCAAGCTATTCTCTATAATTATATATATATATATATATATATATATATATATATATATATATATATATATATATATATATATATATATATATATATACGAGGGTTGTTAGAAAAGTTCGCGGACAAGTTCTATGGTGAGCGCGCTATTTCCATGAAACCGTTTAAACTCTCCAGATAAAAACTTTACCTATTTTCCAATAAATATACAAAGATTTGGTGTTTTCTGGTGATCCTTAAAAAATATACAGCTATATTAGTTTGATAAAACATGCTTCACGGAGCATGCTACTTTTTTTGCACGTTTACATTACATAGACTTTTTATTGAAATCAAAAATTGCACAGTTGTAGCGTAGAAAGCATTATGATATTTTACCTGTCGCTACAGTATTCATGAAACGTCACTTGCCGAAATTTTGAATTAAATTGGAGGGTGTATGACTGTTTTACAGCCATTTATAAATAATCAAGGCGTAAAAACAAAGCCAAGAATGGGAACGTCAAGGAACGTCACGGAGCACCGAGCTACTAAAAATTATGTGTGCAGACAGGAAAATGTCTAAAAGAAACTAAAATGCTTCTAGATGCTGCTGGAAATTGCCTACACGTACAAAGGACAAAAGTATTCAAAATGTAGTAGCTTTATAAGAATGGAAGGATTAACATTTTTAATGATCAACTCCATCGATACCTCAATACCCCACTTATCGCATGGACGTTGCGGCTATGGATTTTGCATTGTTTCCATACCTGTCCTCTTAACTGCGTAGACTATTATTTTAAGATCTCACTAATGTCCGAAACAGCACAAAAGGCATTATAGATGAAAAGTAACATGTCTTGACATAGATATTTAACTTTTCAGTAGAAAAAAGACAAGAAAATTCGAAAGAAATGAAACATATTTAGAACTATGAAAAAGCTTAACGGATTTGAAATCTGATTGTCACGTCACTTAACGTCAAGTTAATGCTCCGTGAATCCTATGACCGCATAGTAAAAATTGTTGTAAATTTTCAAAATTTTAGTAAATGGACCTGAATTTTTACATACTAATAAACAAAAGATAGGAATTTAATCAGACATAAGTCATACTTCACAGTACACAATAGAATTTCCGTAAAACAATGTGTCCGCGAACTTTTCTAACAACCCTCGTATATATATATATATATATATATATATATATATATATATATATATATATATATATATATATATATATATATATATATATATATATATATATATATTAATAATTAGGGCTCACGACAGAGGATGTCCACAACAGGGGATGCTTACTCCTACTAGGCACGTGATCCCTCCTCTAGAATTTCTAGGTGTCCGTGTTTTATGCCCTTTTCACAGATTTGTATTAGTTGTAGAGTTTTTGAGATTAATCCCTGTGTGTTATCTTCAGCTTTTTCGTATAAGGTGCTAATGCTTTTGCATCCACATACCCAGTTGGTCTCATGTGCTACAACCCCTGGGTTGAAATGATTCACTAGAAAGTGAAGTGACATTCCCAAGTTTACAATGAGAACGCACGCTTTTAAATAATCTACCCGACTCGAACCCTGATCCAAAGCCATCCACTCCAACGAATGCGATATTACCTCCATAGTAGTATAACGGTTCATTTCAAAAATAGAATATCGAGTTAAATGTTTAATTTTATATATATAAGAATTATGAGAAGAAATTTACCCTTGCAAATAAGTAGTAATTTTTAGCATAACATAAGATGCGCCAGGCAACATACAGCTCATAAAAATTGCTATTTTCAAACTTTCCACGACTCACTTAACCTCAGATTTACCCAAAACATTTTATATTAATTTGTGTGTTTTTCTCATAATTTTCCCTCATTTATTCTTATTTCTTTCAGAAAGATTTTTTTCAAAAAAATCAATTAAAAAAAAACTTCTACCAAATATTACCAAGTTGTGATTGGAAAAAAAAATTCTTTACACATTCAGAATTTTAATAGCATACCATTATAGTACATGTAACTAAAATCTCTTAACGGTTTGCTATAAACAAATAAAAACAAACAAAATCATCAAAAAATATAAATGAATAAATTAAAAAAAAAACAAAACAAACAAACACCATTACTTCCTCTTACATCCGATGTGGTCCCTCCTTCTAAATAAAGACTTTTGATATATGGTCATAAAAAGTTCGGATTTACAAATGTACATGTGAGTGTACAGGTACTGCTTTATACATGTATTTCATTTCAGGATTTTGTTTTTAATTTTGCTGAAGTTCACATATTAGGTTGAATTTTTCAAAGCATTCATCATTTCCTGTCTCAGCACTCCTTTGCTCAACCTTGCTATTGCCTACAAATAACGATGAATATGAAGTACATGCATAATTTTGACACCAATTTTTTTAAAATCATACTGGCAATGCAAAGCAAAAGAAATCATTTAAATGCTCTACATGGTAAGTAATTGAACAAAAACGCTATTTTTAGCACTACATAGACGTATTTCCCCTCTTCAGTGAAATCAAATAATAAAAGAAATAATAAAATCAAGAATACATGACATTTATAAGTCGAGAAAACCTGTTGCCAAATGATCACTGATTCATGGAACAAGATAATAATTAAATCTATAACGCTTATAAGCTTTAGGTGAAAAGCATGTACACGGGAATATTTCAAATATTCAAATATTTCAAATAAAAAAGCAAGAAAATGTTGAAAACATATTGATAAATATCAACTGTGAACTGTAATAACATGAAAAAAATATTCATTATAAATTAAGGTGTTTTTGTACCTGTTGTATATACCTATATAAAGCATATCAGTTTCGAAAAGTGCCAAACAGAATAGTAGAATAAAACATAACGAGCTGGTTGTCCTATATTTATTTACTTTCTTATTTATTACTACCAGAAAATACCACTTTGTATCATTTTTGTATTTCATTTAATAACTAATTACTAATCAATGATTACCTGCATCAAATCTCTACCTTTCTCCTCAAGATCCTTCTTTTCTAATTTACTTGTTGCATCAGGCTCATGAACAGCTTGATTTCTGTAAATCCGGATTCTTTCTACATCATCAGTTTCACTTTTATCACACGTGTCTGGAGTCTTTCCCCAGCCTTTAGCCGGTTGTGGAAGACTTGGAAAACGGTTTCGTAGCATTTGGTACATCAGCGTCACATCAAACGATTCAGAGCAGGGAATAGATTCATCAGCTTAGAATAATAAAGGAAATTACTTGACTGAAGATTTATCCGGAAATAAGATTATCTCCTATCAACCATCTAATGCTGTGCGGCTGTCTAAATATCTAAAAATTCTATCCATGTTTTGACAATGTGAACATTTCTGTTGCCATTTCTCTTTTGTTATTACAAATTTTGTCAATTTCATTATAATGACAATCGAAAAAATATTATAGTTAATCAAAATTCTTAACGGATTTCAGAGTCAAATGTGGTTATCACATGGTTTTTGAAATTTTGAAATTTTTCTCTATTTTACGTAACTGACATTGTTATTGTAAATCAGAAGATTAAGTGCAAAGAAATACATTACCCAGAAACAGCCGAGCAAACTGATCGTCATTTAAATGGAAAGCTTTTTTCACTTTGTTCTTTCTTGATGACATGTTGGCAAGGTCTTGTGTTGGGAATACCGTATCAAAATAAATCTGTAAGGCTTTTCGGCCAACCTTGGTCAACTTTTCAAATTTTTGGAAATGGAATTTCAACAGCGCCTCCTCATAACAGTGGATAAAGCTGTCTTTATGCGTATTAGCAACTTCTTATAGAAAAATATTTTATGCGTATTAGCAACTTCTTATAGAAAAATATTTTATGCGTATTAGCAACTTCTTATAGAAAAATATTTCATGTTCGTATATATATATATATATATATATATATATATATATATATATATATATATATATATATATATATATATATATATATATATATAATTTTTAAGTCGCTACTCTTTTATTGACTTTTTCTTTGAAAGCTTGCGACATTTGCCAGCATTAGAAATATTTTCAGAAGCGGAACATCTTAAAATTATCATTATATATTGTAAAAAAAAATACTGACCTGTCTCTGGTACATTACAATCCTAAAAAATATAAAAACATATAAATAATCTAATATATGCAAATAAGTATATCTTGAACATTTCGAATTAAGTTATGAAATAAACTATTTTTTTTAAAACTCTACATCTGTATATTTTGTTAGAATAGTTGGGATTACTTTTCATCGTTGTGTTATGTCTCATGCAAATAGAGGGCTCATATTGGCGCATTCTATGAATTTTTAGAATTAAAGGCTGGTCAATTATAGAGTTAAAATTAAAATACCTCACATTTGGAATTAAAAAAAATATGCGCAAATAGCTTGAGTGGAGTTGACATTTAGTAATTTTATAAGATGATTTTGAGGAATTTTTATTTTGATATGTGTGTGTTAAGTTTCCTATCTTTGGATGGTCATATGATTGTGGATGTTAAATGTTGATTGTAATGTTTCATATAAGTTAAGAACAGACAGATAAATTACTGCTGTCCGAGAGACATTAGGCAATCTGTATAGCAAGGAAAAATGTCCAAGATTTATAGATGATTTTTCTTTCTTTTTTTTAAAATGAGAATAACATTATTTTGTTGTGTTTATGGAACATTATACAGCGATACATCTTGTTAAACCAATATATGGTAACTAAGGATCATTAAAGGAATTCATTTCTCAATTCTTAAAAGCATTTGATTTCCTAGATCTTAACCTTTAGTGCACGTAACGATTAAAATTGAATCAAAGCCTCAAATAAATTCACCTTCTTCCAGTATCCAACCAAATAAGGTTCACTTAGAGTATGGGTAAGTTCATGTCGTGGACAATTAATTTCACCTTTCTGTGAATTTCTTTCTCTGCTACAAAACAGTCGTCGTATTCTCGAAGAACATCATTCATTGAACACTGATATCCTACAGTGTACATAAGTTTCGTGTGAATTCTTCCAGTGAGTTCATCTAATAATCGCTCTATAATTCCACGCACTTCCAGTGTTAATACTTTTTTGACAGTAATGTTGCGAAACACTTGAAGTTGTATTGAAGTGTTGTTTACAGTAAGAGCAACAATGTGCTCCTTATAATGAAAACAAGCAATGTTTTTAAACAGGCACAGTCCTTCGTCATTCAAAACTCTCCATTCCCGTGTCATACAAGCAACAATAAGACGAAAATAAACAAACCACGGCAAGAATGGGAATCTAAAGACCAAGACTGATGTTTTATTTTGACATTTTCTTAAACACTCCTCGTGTGCAGCGTCGAATGTACGTTTATTCATGCAAGGTATGTAATGGAAGTCCGAGTTCAGTTTTACAAAAATCAATCCAAGGCGCTGCATGTATTGGAGAATACTTTTTTGAGTCGAGTTATCTAATCGTCTTGATTTCCAAATTTTTTGGAGAAGCGAATTCGAAAGATATCCGTTTTGGTAGAAATTCATCCATTTTTCATGATCTCTTACAAGATCTAAGGCATGGTTTGGGTCTGTGATGATATTCTTAAAGGCATCAACAAACCACTGGATGTCAATTACGATATTTTCAGAAAGACATTCCTCGTCAAAATGCAGAATAATTCCAATATCATGGAAAAGTTTCAAAACATCTTGAACATTTGTACTTTTTTCTTGTATATAATACAAAAATTCACTGGAAACTGCCTTTCGAGAGAGCATTCTTTCTGTTGATTTGAGTTTCCTTAGGATAACTTCACATATTGCCCAGTCTCTTGGAATAGTTTCCTTCCATCGGTCTTCTTTGGCAATTGAAACAATACATTTTTCTAAATCTAAAAATTGGTCAAGACATTGTTCATCATTTTCCAGAAATCCTATAATGAAGCACCTCTTTCTGTTCAGGTGTACTTTGAGATTTTCATCATGACGTAAATGGTCCAAAATTCTTCTGTAAAATTCGTCCGAAGTCTAAAAACCAGAAAACACTAAAGGAAAATCCTTGCAAAAATTGTATAATCTCAAGTAGGATTATGCTGTTTATATTGAATTTCCTTCGACTTTAGACTAATTTTGATACGAAAAAAAGTAAAAATAACGAAGAACGATCAATCTGAAAAATCTATATGCAATGCAAATTGTGAGCAGAGCATAAGATCCCCTTGGATATTCTAAGGTGGGATTAGGTGCCTAGGAGAAATAAGCATCCCCTGTTGACTGGTACCATTCACTTCGAGCACTTAGTATTGGTCAGGTAGAGGATATAATATGTAATTAATTTTTTTTTTATAGAAAATAGTCTAACAATTGGCATGAAACATGTCAGTCAACATACGACCTAATGGTAGATTGTATTTGCAAACAAGGCCATTATAACGATCATAGAAATTTCAAAATGCTGACTTTAAACGAGTGTGTTGAAAACCCTGTAATTACTTATTACTTACTTATAATAGATTCAATTATATATAATATAATAGAATAATAATATAATAATGTTATATACGTATCATTAAATTGTATTCAAGGTTCTTGATTTTGCAGTAGCTTAGTTGTCTATCACCTACGTATATTATTATTGAGGTATAGCCAATATATGACTGAACAAGACGTGCTTTCCAAATTCAGATGTTCAGTTTTTAGAAGCATCTTGTAAACTCATGAAATGAAAGTAAGCCTAAAATCAAACTCATATTTTAAAAGAAAATATAGCGGAAAAATATCTAATTTGTACATTACCGTTGTAGACTTCAAACAAAAGAATAAAATGTTTTTACAGAATAGATGTGATATTTTTACCTGGTGTTCAGACCTGTCGAGATGAGTTCCAACGAGAATGACGGGGACATCCTTAGCACAGTAGAAATGGATAGATTTCATCCAGAACAAAAGGTATTCTGTTTTAAATGAACGTCAGTTCAGTTACTATTTCATTTACATGTACACAGGAAATCCAAGGGTTTCTTGAGTAAACGCCATAATATTATCATTTATTATTCATTATTCTATACATGTAATAATAGATTGGGAATTAAAAACGAACGCCTTTATACATCTTTGTTAAATTTGTAAAATCCCTATTGAATAGGTATATTTGAATCATTAAATAAAGTTAATCATACTGACTGATCTGCCTTCACGGAATATATACAATTATTTGAGATTATTGATAATTGTTAGCACATTCTAAATTTCATCTTTCAAATTACATGTAACTTACATCATCTTTTCCATGAAGTGTTTTAATGCATTGAATTTAAGACCAAAATGTATTTTTTCGCAAATTGCATTAAATTCCAGATCTGATAATCAATGACTGCAAGGATTTTTTTTACACAGAAAAGGCTTAAGCATATGTGCTAAAAATATATTATATTTTCATGATGCCGATCCTTTTTTAGATGCCGATAGTTATGCCAGCTGTATTCTGGTGCTTACTTTGCTTACGCTGTTTTGTATATCAAAATACTGTGTACAGGATTATTTTCGCCCTTTTCACAATTGCAAACAATTTTGCCCCGTTTTAATTTCGCCCGATCACAGATTTGTTTAAGAAATAATTCTTTTTCTTTGAATTCGCCCCGTCTTAAATTCGTCCACTTATGTCCAGGGCGAAAGGGGCAAAAATAAAACTGGGGCGAAAATTTCCCTGTATATAGTATTTACATTCACTCTTTAGGCGCATTGCTAAGAAATCCTTATCGCATGCAACATGTTTCTAGACAGAATTTTTGAAGCATGGTTTAGATTAACAAAGAGATGTACCTCCATATGTCCAATCACCAAACATGGTTCCCTCCTGGTCACACAACGCCTTGTCAACCTTGTCTTTAAATGACTTTGACATATCTATCACTAGGATGTAAAAAGCTCTTCTGCTGAGGTAGACTTGATGACAAGCGTAGTAGGCACACTGTCCTCCAAAATCCAGAACACTCAGAAGTGTTTTCCCTTCCTTATTTGATTCGTCCGTCAGAGCTAGATGAAAAGAAAATTTGCATACACGATTAAACAGACGTTTAATGGATATCTTAGGGCTGTACCAAAACTCCTAAGACAAACATAGTTTTGTAAGAACCCAGTGTCATAAATTAACGAAACTTCGTACATATATAAAACCAATTTATGGACAAACATTAAGTAATTACACAAATGAACCCTAGTTAAATACATTATTTTCTTATCTGATCTAAGAATACAGCGCAGTACCCAATTATTGCACTTGAAAATCGGTATATGATATTTGAAATTTTATGAGAAAGTATTCACTACTCAAAATTTCAGAAATAGAAATAAAAATTCTTAATATTGCATTGTTAACTACCTTTCCTCCGATTTTATTGTGTATGCTTTGATTAATACAAATTTCATAACATTTTGTGTATTTGAAAGCTGACGTCGAAAAATTGTTGCTGGTTGACACAGGCGGCGCACTGGACTTTGAAAAAAAAAAATGTTCAGAACTTGAATTCACTCCTAAAAAAACGCCGAACACATACATTTTTGGTACACATGAAAATGAATTTTGGTCCTTAGTATATTAAAATGGCATATTCGGTTTTTCTAACCATGTTAAGAAGAAAAATAAAAAATAATAATAAAACCAGCCGAAGAATCGGTCAAGAAATTATTGTAAAAGTGACGCTGTGCAACTTCTTATGAGAAGGCAGACGAAACACATAGCGTTTTTAAAATCATAATTACAGAATACATATACATGTATATGGACACATTATGTTTGTATATTTTAATGTTAAACCATATAACAATTAAGATATTTCACATTTATTTCTATAATCTTTATGTTGACTCAAAGAATTCGATTGTGGTAAATCACCCCCCCCCCAAAAAAAAAAAAAAAATTAAAAAAAGAACAAATTCAAATTGGTAACGTTATGTATATCGTTTATGACGTCGGAGAATGCTCCGGGCGTTACCTAACGATAAAGCTGCAATTCTAATTACTTGAATTATTTTAAAGTAATCATATCAAAACTTTGAAATTCATCATCCAACAACATGCTTTATCTACCCAGCTCAGTAAATTTTATAAACTCCCCTACTAATGTGTTCGGAACCTTTTATTTTTCAGTGTCCCGCAAATTATACCCGAAGAGCAAGCGGTAGCTCTGGCGAGATATACAGAGAAGCTGTGAATGGATAATGGTCAATTATTCACGGAAGTAACTAGCAAGGAGACATGGTAAAGAGAAAAGTTATGTTAGATTTCATTTTTTCACCACTGTATCATATCAGTTGGAATGTACTTTAATCTCTCTAGAATTCATTCAAACTACTTCAACAAGTATTCTTTAAGACATTATTTACTGCAGTTATATATTACAATTTCTTTTTTGGACAAGGAACATGCTTGCAAAGGAACTATACTTTCAGGCGTCAGACTAAATTAACCTGCTAAAAGAGGTACACTGTATTATGGATTACTACGAATACGACAGGAATATAAATCTACTCCCAATCGGAAGAACGAAATGATTTTTTATCCAGGCATATCATAAATAAAGAACAATACAAATATCAGGTGAATTATCTGTTTAAAGACAAAGGACATACGTGTTCCGTGTATTATAAGAAAAAACTGTTGGCCATGCATTTGAATGCTAGGAGATGCTGCTTGTTTTCCTTATCCTTAAAGCGCTGCATAATCTCCAATAAATCAAACACAATATATATGATATTTGCTTATTAACCTCAGTTATCTGGACACAAACCGGGCCGTCTTCTAATTCTCGTAATTTTTTGTTTTGATGCTGCTGTGACGCGACATGACGTCATCGTCACCGAAACTCTTTGAGAAAAATTATTAATAACAATATTATGAAAAAAAAGAATGTTTTCATACTGATTTTAACTCTTGAATGTTTTTCTTATTTTTCTTAAGTTCTTAAAATTCTTTTTAAGAGTTAACATTGTTCTTGAAATATATACACTAATAGAGAAATTTCGCTTTGTCTGAATGTAAAACACCCTAGCCTGA